CAGTCAGGGGCAGATGGTGGGATCCACATAGCCTGTGTGCACCCTAGGCTGCAAGCTCATCATGGACAGTGCTAGATTGAGAGCTGGGGTGTCTACAGGCTGCAGCTGCTCCAAACCCATGGGAGCAGGTAAGACTGTGAAGAAGACAGCTTGCAGCCACCAGGGAAAGCAGGGAAGGGAGGTGACGGCTGGGGACAGTCCACTGTGCTCCACACACAGGACAGGGACTACCTACCATACACATCCCTGCTCAGCACAGTATGACTACATGGCAGATGCTCAGCTAGAACTGGAAATGTGACTGTTGGTAGAGTGCTTGCTTAGCATGCTTGAAACCCTGGCTTCCGTCTCTAGCACCGCATAAAGCAGATGAGGTGGGGCACACCTGTAATCCCAGGACTTAGGAGGTAGAGGCAGGAGGATGAGAAGTGAAGTTCAAGGTCATCCTTGGTGAGTTCAAGGCCAACCTAGAGTACAAGAGACCCTGTTTCAATAAGAAAAGAAAAATCAGCCTTTAATCCCAGCACTCTGGAGGCAGAGGCAGTCGAATCTCTGTGAGTTCAAGGCCAGCGTGGTCCATAGCGAGTTCCAGGCCAGTTGGGGCTAAAAAGACCAAAAAGAAAAAAAGAAAAGAAAAATATTTGAGTCTAGCACTGTGCGGTAGTACACAATTGGAATCCAGAATTGAGCTACAAACCGAGACCCTGCCTATAAATTAGACCAAAAATAAATAAATAAATAAATAAATAAATAAATAAATAAATAAATAAATAAATCCTTTACATTTAGAGTGGAAGAAAACACAGAAAAGGCTGGGGAAAATAAGATCCAGGACGAGGGGGGCTGCCAGGAGCTACCACCAAAATTAAGATCAAGCCATTGTATTCTGAGGTTGAAGAGATAACTCAGCAATTAAGAGCATTTTCTACCCTTACAGAGGACCAAAGTTCCTAAACTCAGGTCAGGCAGCTCACAACTGCTGGTAACTCTAAATCCAGGAGATCTGACACCCTCTTCTGGCCTCCATGAATGCACCACCATTCATGTATGTGCATAAGTAGAGAGAGAGAGAGAGAGAGAGAGAGAGAGAGAGAGAGAGAATAAATCTTTGAAAACAACACTGTGTTCTGTTCTTAAAAGTCTTGGGATAACCTTGGCAAAGCTGGAGGATGGAGACTAAAGAATAAGCCATGGAGCCAGCACATGCAGCATCTCCAGACCTTTAGTGACAAAAAGGTGATGAAAACAGGGTGAGGAAGAGAAGGAGTATGGTGGCCTGAGGGCACACAGTCCAGGGAGGTTCAAACCCCACTAGGGTTTCCTGCTCTCCTGTGAGTTGTCATCTGAGTCTCAGTTTCCTCAACTTGCAAGTATTAAGAGCATCAAGTGGGGCTCCGGTCCTCCGTGAACCCTGGCTGAGAGAAGAGTTTGGGCTGGACATCTGCAGTGCAGACCCTTGACCTGCTTTGGAGGCCTTTAGGGGGACATTACCTGGCCCTACCTGGCCTCCATGCTGGAGGGACCCTAAGAGCATCAAGTGGGGCTCCGGTCCTCCGTGAACCCTGGCTGAGAGAAGAGATTTGGGCTGGACATCTGCAGTGCAGACCCTTGACCTGCTTTGGAGGCCTTTGGGGGGACATTACCTGGCCCTACCTGGCCTCCATGCTGGAGGGACCCTGAACCCAGCACCACAACCAACTGAATGAGTAACTATGCACAGCATCCAGCCTGGCGCCTGACTTGTCTCATGTCCCCAGGGTGTCCTTGCCATCTCTGCCTAAGCCCCACCCCTACTACACAGAGCAGCCCTAGGTTTTCACTGGTAAGAGCCAGGTGAGGCTTGCGACAGCATCCAGCCTGGCGCCTGACTTGTCTCATGTCCCCAGGGTGTCCTTGCCATCTCTGCCTAAGCCCCACCCCTACTATATAGAGCAGCCCTAGGTTTTCACTGGTAAGAGCCAGGTGAGGCCTGCGTCCCTGTTCAGCATGGAAGAAGCCAGAGTGGTCAGGGTCCCTATTCCCTATTGGCAATTTGGGTAACCCTTTCAGAGGATGGTGTGATAAGACTAGGAGATAGGAACTGGCTAGGCAGTTAGGGTAGAAAAACTCCAAAGAAATGTAGCTGGTTTCTTGGCTAAAAGTCAAAATGTCCTTGGGCCTGTTAGCAACATACTCTGTTCCAATGGCTAAAAATGTTAAAAGTATTTGGAAGCTTGTATCTAATCCTTAAAACATTTTAGGGTTACCTTTTCAGAGGGGGGAATGTTGGAGGGGAGGGAGTGGACATGGATTTGATCGAAACACCTTATGTGCATGTATGAAATTCTCAATAAAGTTTTTGTAAAAATAAAAAAATTAAAAAAAAAAAAATAAGAGCCAGGCGAGGATCTCACCAGGGCTGAGAAGCCTCTGCTGACTGAGGGATGGAGCCAGGTGGAAGGTGGAGGAAAGCTGAACTGGCCTGGAGGCCAGGACTGCTGTAAAACCAAAGGCCAGAAAGTAGCCAGACAGAGCCAGGTACATGAGTCCTGACAGCCAATCAGAGGTAAGCACTTGATCCAATCAGAGTCAGGTACCTGAGTCCAACAGCCAATCAGAGGCAAGCACTTGGGTCTCAAAAGTCAATTAGAATCAGGCACATAGATCTGTGGACCAATCAGAGCCAGGCAGATGAGCCTCAGGGACCATATACTTCAGGAGTGTGCTTAGTGAGTGTGCCTCGGGTTCACTTGAACAACCTGTTCAAGGTTAGATCCTGCGCCACCTCAGAATCACAGGACTGAAATGGAGGTGACCCACACACTTTCAACCTGTCTCCCAGGTGACACTGATGCAGATGGTCCTGGGCCATTGGAGAGAGAGGACTCTCCTAGAGAGCACTGGCCAAAGCCATCATTAGGACCTGAGGGTCAGCTGGTGTCCAGGTTCCAGGCCCCTGTCCCTTCCTGGGCCTGCATGTGGAAGATAGAAAGGGGGTGCAGCAGAGAAGACAGCAGACCCAGGGGCTGACACGCTCCCAGCTGGGCTGCTGGCCAAGTCCATTTGACAGCTGAGGCCAGGAAGGTTCACAAGGTGAGGATACAGCTGGTATGGGGCAGAGGGGAGCCAGACCTCTCAGGGCACACTACCCCCCTGAATAAGGAAGAGAGGAGGAAGGATGGAAAGACTGAGCGAGAACAGGCCAGCAATAGAGGGTCTTGCAGGGTGCCCGCCAGGGTGGCCCAGCCAGGCTGGCTGCTGTAGGCTGAGTTCCTGCCTGTCCCTGTCCCTGTACCCCACGGTTGCCATGCCGACCCCCAGGCTGTGTTTGTGATGTTGTATTTGATTTCACAAGTTTGGAACTCCAATTACGTCATTTCGCAACACAGGGTTGCTATGACAGCAAGCCCCGTGTCCCCGGGTGGCTCACACCTTGGAAGAAAGGGAGGGGCCCAAACAGCTCCTCCAGCAAAGCTGGACTGCGGACCCCCATGAGGAGTCAGGCCAGAAAGGTGGGGTCCCACCACCCATCAGGGATGGATCAGCATCTATGTCGGAGGGGGGCATTCATCTCCTGACCCCATACCTTACCTCCTGCAAAAGGAGGCTTTCACACCTGACTGACACATACTGACACCAGGCCTCCAGCAACCAGTCTGGCCATCTGCCCCCGCTTGTCAGGGCTCCCCAGTGGCCAATGCTCTGGTATATATGAGACTTCTCACAAGCCACACCCAGAGGCTGTGTGGAGGCAGCAGTGTGGCAGAGAACACTGATTTTGGCGTTGGGCCTGGGTTCAAGTGCTGGCTTCCCACTCACCAAGTGTGTGTGGTCTGAACAAGTGAGCTGCACCCTGAACTTCTATAGATGGGGATGAAAGTGGGTCACCCCACCTTCTAGAGGCTGGGAAGGGTCACAGTCAGTGCACAAGCAGTGCCTGTTACAGCACAGATAGAAGAGACAGGTGCCATGCCTTGTTTCCCTCCCTTCCTCATTGTAACCAACCAACCTTCCTTCCATCTTTCTTTCCTTCCTCTTTCCTATTACCCTGTTGTACCTAAGTTCTTGCTGTGTGGTTTTGGGCAACTGACCTTCCCTCTCGGATCTGCTACACTTAATAACAATTTTTTTTTCTCCCATACTCACTTCCTCATGTCTAATCTCTCCTTGCCTTGGTCCTAAATTAAGTCAGTTGGAAAGGTTGCTGGGCACATTTCAGCACCCCAGGACCACACCAATAGGTCTGGCTCCCTCTTGATTGCTACGTCAACAGCAAGTGCAGAGAAGGCACAAATGTCTGCCTGGCTCCCTAACTCTGAGGGACTTTGAGCTGTGTGCTCAGAGCAGAGTTGCCCGATTAGACACTGTGATGGTTAGTTTTTATTGTCAACTTGACACAGTCTAAGATCCCCTGGGAACCTCATCTGACCAATCATTCAGATCAAGTTGGCCTGTGGGCATATCTTCGAGAGATCATCTTGATTTCCGAGATGTGAAGACCCACCTGAAAGGGGTGGCACTGTTTCATGGGCTGAGCCCTAGACTGTGCAGGGATGAAGAAAGTCAGCTGAGAGGTGATTAGAGAGATGGCTCTGGGGTTAAGAGCACTGGCTGCTCTTGCAGAGGACCTGGGTTTGATTCCCAGCACTCATGTGATAGCTACCAACCATCTGTAACTGCAGACACCCTCTTCTGTTCTCTGTAGGCATTGCACACTCGTGGTGCAATTACATACATGCAGACAAAACACTCATACACATAAAAAATAAACAAATAAGGGGCTGGAGAGATGGCTCAGCAGTTCAGAATACTGTTTGTTCTTTCAGAAGACCCAGGTTCGAATCCCAGCACCCACATGGCCGCTAACAACTGTCCATAACTCCAGTCCCAGGGGATCCGACAGCCTGGTCTTACACAACACAGGTGCACTCACAATTTTTAAAGAGCTCGTGGTAATCACCAGCTCCGCTTCAAAACTTGTGTATTATCATAAAGCAAGGGGAGGGTAGAGGCAGGAGAACATGACTTTGCAGGAACGCGGCCCCAGAAAGGACCCTGGAAGGAGTGGGAAGGCCGATGTGCCCCAGACTGGGGAAAGTGAAGAAGCTCAGGAGGAAGATGCTGGGGGCCCTGAGAGGGTGTGGGTGAGGCTGGTGGTGGCCTGAGAGGGACCATCCACAGCCAGGGAAGCAACTGACGGTGGTGCAGGTGTTTCCAGACAGGAAATCGGGCAGCTGTGGCCTATGGAGTGCAGAAGCAATCATGACCCAGCTCAGCTTTAGAGCTCAGAGCAGGCAGCCCTGGGGTGGCTAGCCCAGGGTGACCATGAGCAGTAAAGGGTGTGAGGTCATTAGAGATGAAGGTTCAGGAAGCAGCTGGATGCTAGACGGGCACCCACAAAGCCCCAAAGTCACCAAGATGATGGTGCAATTGTGGAGGGCAGTGAGAGCTTACTATATCTTCATGGGATGTGGCAGGTGCCAGGGAGATAGTGGGAACAGCATAGAGGATCATGGCAGAGCTAAAGCAAGCCCCTAGAGAAATCAGGAACCTACGAGCAGTAAACAGCCAGGAGAGAGCTCAGTTGGTAAATTTCTGGCCTTGCAAGCATTAGGACCTGAGTTCCAGTCACAGAATTCACGGGGGGGGGGGGACCTAGTATGGTAGTATACACTTGTAATCTCAGAGCAGGGTAGGTGGAGACAGGGAGGTCTCTGGGGCTGGCTGGCCAACCTAGCCTGCTTTGTGAGTTCCAGGCCAGTGAGAGACCCTGCCTCAAAACACCAAAGTGGACGCTATCCCTCAAGGAGACAGAAGGATGGTGTCTGGAGCAGGAAGGTCAGGTAAGGGAGAAGGAGAGAGCAGAGTCTGGGGACAGGCTTCATTAGCCCATAAATTCCCCTACTTGGCCTTGGTCACACAGCCTGCATGAATGTGGCCCCTCCCTAGGCCTCAGTTTCCCTATCTGTAAGAGGGTGAGCTGGTATGGTGACTGTGACCATGAAGATTTGGAGACTGTGCACAAAGGCTCTCAGGCTATGGGGTGCCCTCCTCAGTCCTGACCTCCTGAGTCACCTCAAAAACCCAAAACTTCCCAAATTCTCTAAACCCTGCTTTGGGTTCTGGGGGTGGGCAAGGCTGAGTCAAAGGAAAGTCAGGGATGGGAGGGAAGCCATGATGGATAAGTGACGCTGGGGAAGGACTAGCTACTGCCCCCAGGCCCAACACCCAGGTGCTGTCTTTACTCAGAGGCTGTTCATATCCACCCTGGGTACCCTGAGCCCACCTGTGCTGATCTCTGCTGGGAACCCTAACACCCACTGCTCTTCCTCCCTTCCCACCTCCCTGCCTTACCATCTCCAGTCCACTGACCACCTGCTTTGGGAGCCATCTTCCCTGGGCTTGCTTGTCCCCAACCCTCTCCTGCTCTCCAGCCTGCCATGACCCCCCATTACCTATAGAACCAACTGAATCCTGACATAGCCTATAATGTCCTTCATGACCCAGCCTCACTGTCCTCCTCAACATCACCTCCACAAGGCCCCAGCTTCAATCTCACAGTGCTCAACCCCAAACCCTCAATCATACCACTCCCCGACCCCAACCCATCCTATCAGGAGTGTCTTTTCCTCCTGTCAATCAAATGATACCAACGCCAGTCAGAACCCTGCTGTCCCATGTTCTCTGGGTTCACCATGCCCTTGATTTCAATTAATAGTGATAATACATGTCCCATTCCATAGTAAATCCAGTACCCATCCAGGTCTGCCCCCACCGTGTGTGTGTGTGTGTGTGTGTGTGTGTGTGTGTGTACATGTGTACATGGAGGACAGAGGACAACCTCAGGTGTTGTTCCTCAGGTGGAGTCCACCCTGGAGTTTAAGTGACAGGGTCTCTCACTGGCCTGGAACTCACCAAGCAAGCTAGACTGAGCTGGCCAGCGAGCTCTAGAAATCTCCATCTCCATCCATTCTGTGCTGGGATTACAAGTGTGGAATTACTACCACACTAGGCACTTTGTCCACGGATTCTGGGACTCGAACTCATGTCTTCATGCTTACAAAGCCAGCACTTTACCTAAGTTATCTCCCTAATCCCCAGCCCCCAAGCCCAGTGTTTCTGAAGCCTCCTGAGAAGGCCAAGGTCCTACCTCTTTTGAAGCCAGTTCCTCCAGTGATACCTGCCATCTGCCAGTCCTACCTGTTCTCTGACTCCTCACTGCCTAGTGTCCCTCAGACTCAAGGGCGTGTGTCCACAGCCTTCTCGGAGTAGAGAAGCCATTTCAGGCTGTAACCCTGCATGTCACTTACCATCCGGAACATCCCTGACATGCCCCTCACGAGGATCCCGTTCACATCCTCTGCTTGGTCCCCAAGTCTCACTCTCCAGCTGTCACAACTCTGTTGTTCCTCCACACACAGAGCTGTGGCCTGGCCTTCACTTCATGACCTTCTCACTCGGGACACCCCAGGTTTGAGGCAGTATCTGCCTCCTGTAACCAAAGGGCCTCTTGAGGGGTTTTCCCCATGGCAGAGGCAGCCTATCACAGGCCCCTGCAGGCAGACAGCAGCTGCCTCTGTCATGGGGGGGGCAGAGGGGCAGTGTATGTATTGCCTGCATGTATGTAGGTGCACCCGTGTCATGCAGTGTCCATGGAGATCAGAAGAGAGTGCCAGATCCCCTGGAACTGGAGTTATGGATGATTATTAGCTGCCATGTGGGTGCTGGGAATTGAACCTGGGTCCTCTGCAAGAGCAGCCAGTGCTCCTAACCACTGAGCCATCTCTCCAGGCCCAGCTGCCTCTGCCTTTACTAAAGCAGCCACAGGACTTTTCAGAGGCATTTCCCTTCACAGTGTGGCACCTTAGAGTCAGAGGTGGGACCATCAGTCACCACTTAACAGATAAAAGTCCACTGGTGACCCCAAGGTCAGGATCCCACAGAAGACAGCTTAGCCATTCAGGGCACACCCCGGGCAGAGCCAGACCTCTGAGCCAAGGCTGGGACTTCTTAGTTCTCACCACATCTGCTTGTCCATGCCCAGCACTGACAGCCAGGAAGGAGAGCAGATGCCAGGCCTGGTACCCAGAACTCAGCATGTTCACCGAGTCAGACAATCATGTTGGCACCTCTGTTGTTACCATTTCACAGAGGAGCAAACTGGCACCCGAGAAGGAAGCCCAGTCCGTGCCTAGGCTCAGCATTGCAACTGCAGCCAGAGCCAAATGTTTTTTCTTTTGAATTTTTTTCTTTTGAGGCAGGATGACAGTATGTTGCCCAGGCTGACCTTGAACTCCTGGTTTCAAGGAATCCTCCTACCTCAGCCACAAAGTTAGCTAGGCCTGCAGACTCATACTATAGTGCCTAGCTAAGACTGATTCTTCAAGGATTAAGCCACGGGCTCTGTAGCGGGCTCTTATTCTAAGAGCGAAGGCAGGTGTTCCCGCACCCTCTGCTTGGACCTTTGACATGATTTTTTGTTTAATCATCACAATAATCATAGAAGCAGGTAGGATCCTTCCTGTTTACACTCAAGGACAGGAAACTGAGAGGTGAGGTGGAGGGGCTTCAGCTGGTTATGCACAGCCTTAAAGAGCCCATGCTCTTCTGCTCCTCCACCCCCAGGGTCTCAGCCCGGTTTGTGTGAGGGAAGGACAGGCATGCCCCCAGCCTCCCTCCCTCTGAGTCCCCAGCATGACTCTGTGGCTACGCTCTATACACTGGGGACCCACCCTTGAGGCTGCCATTCTGCCCATGGTGCCCACTCAGGGGCAGGCCCTCCCACTGCCACTCCCAGGACTCCAGAGTCTCTCTGGGCAGTACCCCTACACAGGGACCAGCTGCTTCTCAAGCTGACCACTGGGTAGCCCCCAGGGACAGAGCCAGCTGATCTCAGGGCATTGGACTAGGACAGGGTTTCCTCAGTCACACACCTGCACTCTTCTCCATCAGGCCTGGCTCCCAGCTTCCTCCAGCCTCAACTTCAGAGCTCAGCCCAGTACCTGGCTGGAAGAGGGTGCCCCTGGAGCTCTGACTGGGCCTTCCTATGCTCAAGGGATATTTTCTGGGGGATGCAGAGCCCATGAGGTAGAGGGCAGGTGGAAACTAGAGCCAACCCCTTTGGTAGGAGGAAGAGGGCCTGTCACAGCATCCCAGCTCATGATGACCCCCTTGACTGGGACACAGGACAATCCAAACCCAATACTCAGTCTCTGCAGTGGGCCACAGGTACTGTCCCAACCCTCCACATTGAGGCTTCTCCTGGTGGTCTATGCTTCTTCCTCTAGATGGGGGAGGGTACTGCACCCTCACAGAGGGACAGCAAGAGGCAGGAAGCTCTTCAGGGTGGACTGTGGTTAGTCCAGCCTCTGGGCGCTCTCACAGGTTACCCCACAACTGAGGAAAGGCCACCCTAGCAGGCAGAAGGTGGCCTTGGCAGACTGAAGGTATGACACAGTTTCATGGCAGCTCATGGCTGGGGGCAACAAGGGCAGAGAAGTGGGAGCTGATTTGGACTTATGTGGTGTCCTAGTCTGCTCTCTATTGCTGTGATAAAACATTGATCAAACCAACTGAGGGAGGAAAAGGTTTATTGCATCTTATACTTCCAAGTGACAGTCCATCATTAAGTGAAGAGAGATGGGAACCTGAGGCAGGAGCTGAAACACAAACCACAGACCAACACTGCTTACTGGCTTGTTCCTCTGGCCTGTGCTCAGCGTGCAGGTGACGCCTGCCCAGGGTGACGTCACCCACAGTGGGCTGGGCCCTCCCACATCATTCAACAATCAAGAAATGCCTCACAGACACGCCCACAGGCCAGTCCAATAGAGGAAATTCCCCAGCCGAGGGTCCCTCTTCCCAGGGGTGTCAACTTGACAGCTGAAGCCAACCTTGACAACTAGGAAGAAAGTTAAACCAAGGACTAGTCACTCACTAAAGTACCTCAGCCCCTGGGCTCCCTCTGGGGCCCAGGATCCAGCCCCAGCTACTTCCACAAAGTGGGATCTCCAGAGCAATGCTGTGCTTCAGCCCAGACTGCTCTTCAGGAAAGTACCCAATGCTAGAATTCAAGTCCTTCATCAGGGCCCATTCTTGGGCCATCCCAATACACCAGTGCTAGGCTGCAAGAACCCCCAGGCCC